ATAAAATTGTTTATATACAGTATCCTTATATCAAAGTATTTTTGATTTCAGGTATATGTTTGGGGTCGCTAATAAGTTGGGGCGTTCTGATGATTATGGATTCATTGATCCCCAAGAAATTCATGAATCAAATTATTTTGACCATATCAACATGAGTCTGATAAGAAGTTTTGGAAGGGCAAGAAATATACTTTTTGCCTTATATATCCGGGTAAGTGAACTTTGTTAACATATAATTTCCATATGTGATTTTAATATTTAATAGTACGTTATTATGAATTTCAGGCGCCATTGCAATTCTTGTTATGTCTGTGACAGACAACTATGCTTTGTGGTTCTGCTCATTGCACAGGCCTCCTCCCACACAACTCAGAACAAGCAATTGATTGGTAAGAACCTCAATGTTTGGACTTTCTTTGTTATATAACTGAAATGCTAAACATTTTTTATATACAGTTCTATTCCAGCAAGTATGTGATGGGACGGGAGATCAATTGCTAAGAGTAGAAAGATTGCTTGGATTTCTCTCAAGGTTTGGACATATGCTAAAGTCATACTTTTGTTATAATTGTTTTATAACAAATGTTATTCACTAACTATTATCAACTGTGATGTATATTGTAGTGTAACAGACAAAATGGGTCATATGAGTGTGGATACATTGTAATGTATTGGATGACCCATATTGTTCGTTCTCACTCACAAGAAGCTGGGAACGGTAATATTTAACTTTAACAAATTTTGTTTTTAACAATGTGAATTCATATACACTAATTAAAATGAATTGTCTTTTGCAGAGATTAGACTACTCACACCAGTTCCTGAGAAGTCCCTACTATTCATTAGGAACGCTGCGGCGAAGATTATAGTTAGATTATACAATAGCTCTAGATTTAGATTTAAACAATGCATTTTGATTAGCTTTTGATTTCCTTAGACTCTCTACTTTATTTGATGTTGAAATACATTTGAACATGTGTTTGTTATGTTGAAATTGCATTTCTGTAAATGTTTTTATATGCAGGTCTGTTTTTGTGGTAGTGGATATCACAAAAACAGACCTGCAATTTTAAAAAACTGCAGGGGAATATGCCGCGGTTCTAACCACAACCGCGGCATATAGTGCTTCGTTTTTTTTTTAAAAACGAGACATATGGCCGCGGTTTTGACACTAACCGCGGCATATTTGTCGGCCTATATGCCGCGGTTCAACCGCGAACCGCGGCATATAGTGCATTTTTTAATTATTTTTTTTGAATTTTTTTTTAAAAAAAATGAATTTAGGCCGCGGTTCCCTAGACAACCGCGGCATATTGCGCAGACTATATACCGCGGGTATGACCGCGGCATAAAGTGTCTGACTTACTACCGTGGCTGAATATGCCGCGGTTCAAGAACCGCGACGTATAGTGAAAATCAACCGCGGTAAAAGCCCCTCGCTGCACTAGTGTAATGTTTGTTAATCATAAATGTATAATGTATGTAAATAACCTACCACAAAATTATGTATAATGAAGATTAATTTGATTGCAGTCTAGTTGATAATGTTCTAACTTTGGTTTAACATAATTATTCATAATATTAATTTTATTTTTAATCCAACTGCTTATCGATGGTATATAAAATGACAACAGAACTTTAAACTTAACTTAACCCTACAAGAATAAGATTTACATTCATTATGAATTGATCTGATGGAAGACTTACAACGTGCTTGCTAATTTCTTTGTAGCTCTGAGACTATAAATTGATGTGGTGCTAACTACTAAAAAAGAGTATAAATGATTGGGCGAACATAAACATGTATGACAAAGGGAATACCAAATACAAAGAATCGAAGGCTAGTATTGAAGTTGATGATGGATTGGCAGTACCTCATAAAATACAAGCTTGACACATCAACCCAGGCCAAGTGTCAGCTTACAAACGCAATGAGTAGTTGACTGTGATGGGCTGCCATACGCACTATCCCTAATCCTACAAAAGGTGGGAACTTTGTTAGTTTTGGTTTGAAATGATCGTGACGAGATGCGATGTTATTGAGGATGCACAACACTATAATCATAATAAAAGAAGAAGCTTGAAAAAATTCTAAGGACGGATGTAAATTCTGGAAAGGCAAAATCTTTATCTGGATCTAATATTGTTACCGAGATTGGAACTCATTCGCTTGGTACGTGGTATGGTCGAAAATGAAGTTTTACGTGGGTCACACAAATACCAGTATCATTTTATATAAAATCTGATATCTTTATTGAGTTTATTGAAAAAAATTTTATCCAAATTTTTAAGATAATGCGTTATTGGATATTTTACCTTTATATACTATTATACTTTTTCATTTTTATCTAATGTGAGACTTGATTCACACTTGGATTCTCAACGCATCATAATGTGAGAGAGATTGTATATGACTAAAAATATATGTTGAAACTAGGTTAAAGGAAACTTAACATTAATGTTTGTTTTAAGATAAATAGTGTTGAGTGACACGTTATCTTATTTAACATATATTATAAGAATGAAATAATTTTAAAAAGTTATATTTTTTTAAAAATGTGAATTTTTATATTTAAAAAAAAATAAAAAATAAAAAATAAAAAATTTATTAAATCAATGTAACAAATTTATGTGTACAAAAATAGTTTTTATCTTATTTTATCTTATGCGCACTTAGTGAGATGCTCCTAAAACACTGTTAAGTTCAACAGTTATTTATGATTAAAGTTTATAAATGAATTACTACTGTTCATGAATCAAACGACAAAAAATACAAAAAAAAAAAAGTTTTTGAGTTCTAAGAAAATAAATTTTACTTTTTATGAACTTGATTTTAATTAATTAGGATGCGCATAGAAATTGAAACTTTCTTAAAATTTGTTTTACATGTATGTGTTGGGATTGAATCTGGAATGAAAAAGCATATCATATCTCCATTCTGAATGAAAAAATAGACATATCTATGATAAACATATTGTCTTTAAATTGTAATATCTTCGATTCTTATAGTTATAATATATAGTGACATAGATTATTTATACACAATTGTATTAGTGAAAGTTATTATAAAACTTAATAGATTTTATTCTTTATTGTGTTTTGTTTGTCGTTAGATGATTTGACCCCTCGCTTTAATTAAGAAAATGATGTAAAGGTTGATGACATGTATTATGAGAGCTGTGCTACCATGGTGGGAACCTTCCCAGCATACCTCCAAAAAAACTCAAAGTTAAAGATTTTAAACGCAGATGTTGACCTCACCTCAATCTTCCACATACAAAATCACATGGACTATCTTATTTTCATGTCAAAATTATTCACTTTATCACTATATATATATATATATATATATATATATATATAATTTAAGAATCACATATTCCAACTATAAATTGGTAATAATATAATCGTATCATGAACTGAATTTGGTCCATATTTGTGCATATCACCACACCTCCAACTATAAACATTTAATATGTTATTTATAATAATGGTATAGAGTGTCATGAGTTGAAAGTCACATTTCAGTAAAAATGGTGATATGAATAATATATAAGTGAAAAAACTTATAATATATAAGATAACAAAACCTATAATGGTATACAGTGCCAAGAATTTAATATAAGCTCGAATTTGCTTATTAGATAAATGATATATAAGTGAAAATATTTATAAATTTGTCTTAAAATTTTAGGTTGAAAATAGTTTGTTTTTATCTTATACATTTGTTCACATCTTTTTTGGTGTCCAATTTTTCTGGTATTTTTGATATTTTCATGACTTTTGCATTATTTTTTGCCTAATCAGAAAATTAGAAAATTAATCTTTTTTCTTTTGTGAAATTTATATATAATAAACATTATTTTCTGTTCAAAATTTAGTATACGTGAAAATATGATGAAAAATTAATTATTACTATTTTCTCAATGAATTTGAAGAAAGATACATATACTTTTGTCACAATTTTAGCAAACTTCCAGAAAAAAAAAGCTGAAAATGTCTTTGAGAATAAATTAATGCTTAAAATCAGTGATGATTTCAATTGAGATTTATAAAATTAATAATTTACAAATATGCAATCTTATAATATATAAATTATTTCCTATCGTACTAAATTTATAGATTAAATTTACTAGTTAAATAGAATTTAATTAATCCGTTTGTTAAAACAAAATATATTAATAAATAAATTTTACAACTTGACCCTTAAATAAACTGCGTAACTATCATAGATAACATTGCGAGTAGCTGTTCAAAATGCATGACCTATTATTGAGGCAGGAGAAGGAGAAACAAATATATCGTGTTGTCTTAATCAGATAATTTTTTATCAGAAATATTATTATTTTTTGTATTCATAGTGAAATTGTTTTCGATAGAAACCCAACAAATTTAGCAACACATGCATATTTTCTATACACAACAGATAAAATCGTAATAATAACATTATCAAATAGTTTTTCATAAGCAAATATAAAAAATAAGAAAGAAAATGTAAAAATTAAAATTACTTTTTATATGCAAGAGCTCATTTATTTATGGTTTTTTGTCTCTCTCTTTTCTTTTTTAGTTTTGATTTTTAACTTGTATATATCTTATAAAAAAAATTATGGAAAAATTCACTTAAGAAATCCAAATTTTGGAAATTGAAATTAGTTTAGGTATGAATTAATTTGTAAATTAAACTTTTAAAATCTTTTATATTCTTAATTTATACTTAAGCTGATTTTGACTTCATTCCAGTTTGTGTAATTTTATAAAGTTTCACAAATGTGTTTAATTAAATTTACTCGATTTATTAATATAAAAATAATGACACTATTATTTTGACACATAAGAAAAATATAGACACATTTTACCTCCATTATTTTATTCTTAAATATAAAATCAATTTTTTAATGATGAAAATAATGAGTTATGTGCAAACAATAGATAAAAAAAAAACATTTTTCTAAAAATAAAACAATGTAGATATATTGTTTCACTGAAAACATAGTAACTAAGAACATTATTTTTATATTACAGCAGACAACTAAGGTCTGAAAAATTACTCCTTTCTTCTTTGACAGACACACACCAATCAAACAGACATTAATCGACAGACTTCATGGTGTGACTAATTAATCTGTTGGATGTAATCCAGAAACAGTATGGTTTAAAGTTTAAAGTTTGTAGATTGGAAATTGAAGAAGTAAATGGAAGGAAGATGAAGGAACCGGCGACAAGAGAGAAAATTAGGCAACCCCATTAGCTATTGTCGCAGTTTTGGAGTAGTAAGATGACGACGACGTTTCAAAGAGAGGGTAGAGGTTCCACGCGTTCACCTATACATGCGGGACAGCGCTGTCTAAGCTCATGTGAATGCCCTCTATATAAACCACTCCTCCTGCATAATTTCACTACCACCAGTGCTCTCATGGCTACTCAAGTATAGACTGCATTCACGTAGCACAGCAGATACAGTGAAGATGGACGAGGGCAAAGCAGCAGCTCAGAAATCTGTTCAGACTTTTGATCCTCAAAAGGCCCCCAAAAGGAACAAGTTTGCTTTCGCTTGTGCCATATTGGCTTCCATGACTTCCATATTACTTGGCTATGGTGAGTGAGTGTTAATAATAAGAACAACTGTACGTAGACATGACATGCATGAGTAAAAATAACGTTTTTTTTTGCTCTTCTGAACTAAGTACTATATATATATATATATATATTGCTTGTGTATTTGATGATGATGACGATGATGTGTGAGTTTGGTACAGACGTTGGGGTGATGAGTGGAGCGGTGATATATATAAAGAGGGACCTGAAACTGACGGACGTGCAAATCGAGATCGTGGTAGGAATCATCAACCTTTACTCTCTGATTGGTTCGTGTCTCGCCGGGAGAACCTCGGACTGGATCGGTCGGCGTTACACGATCGTCGTGGCCGGAGGCATCTTCTTCGCCGGAGCCATCCTGATGGGATTCTCTCCAAACTATCCCTTTTTGATGTTCGCGCGGTTTGTGGCGGGCGTGGGCATCGGTTATGCTCTGATGATTGCTCCGGTCTACACGGCGGAAGTGTCCCCTCCTTCGTGTCGTGGTTTTCTGACCTCCTTCCCCGAGGTAGTGGAGATATAAATTTGAAAGATGATTTATTATGAGAGAATAATAATAGTAAAGATAACTGATACGGTTGATATTGATGAAGGTATTCGTGAATGGAGGGATATTACTGGGATACATATCAAACTACTGCTTTTCGAAGCTGCCACTTCACCTGGGATGGAGGATGATGCTGGGAGTGGGGGCGGTGCCTTCGGTGATCCTGGCAGTGGGAGTGTTAGCCATGCCGGAGTCACCACGCTGGCTGGTCATGAGAGGTAGGCTCGGCGAAGCCACAAAAGTTCTCAACAAAATCTCCGACTCTCCCCAAGAGGCTCAGCTCAGGCTAGCAGATATCAAAGCCGCGGCTGGGATCCCGGAGGACTGCAACGACGACGTCGTTCAAGTGACCAACCAGAATAGCGGCGGAGAGGGTGTATGGAAAGAGCTAATCCTTTACCCAACACCCGCGGTGCGTCACATCCTCATCTCCGCTCTAGGCCTCCACTTCTTCCAACAGGCTTCCGGCATAGACGCCGTGGTGCTGTACAGCCCCGAGATTTTCAAAAAGGCTGGCCTGGAATCCGACGCCGAGCAGCTTCTGGCGACCGTGGCCGTTGGATTCGCCAAGACCGTTTTCATCTTGGTGGCTACGTTTTTGTTGGATCGGGTCGGGCGTCGGCCCTTGTTATTGACCAGCGTTGGCGGCATGGTCTTCTCGCTTCTCACGCTGGGCGTAAGCCTCACCATCATTGATCGCTCACGCGCCGTGATCAAATGGGCCATTGGCCTGAGCATAGGTATGGTTTTGTCCTACGTGTCGACGTTCTCCGTTGGGGCGGGTCCCATAACGTGGGTGTACAGCTCGGAGATCTTCCCGTTGAGGCTACGCGCCCAGGGTGCGGCTATGGGAGTTGTGGTGAATAGGGTGACGAGTGGAGTTATCTCAATGACGTTCTTGTCCCTGTCTGATAAGATCACTATTGGTGGGGCCTTCTTCATCTTCGGGGGAATCGCGATGTGTGGATGGATCTTTTTCTTTACCATGCTCCCCGAAACACAGGGCAAGACCCTTGAGGAAACGGAAGGGTCTTTTGGTAAATTCTTGTCATGGTCCAAAAGCAATGGTAATAAGGACAGTGAGAACAATGCAGAGATACAAATGGCGAATTAGGAAGAGCAAGACATAATAATGGCGCTTTAATAGCTTTCAGTACTAATTGTCTACTTCAGATTATATTGGTTTGGTATTCTACAACGTAGTATTATCGTACTTCTCTTTATGAAAGTATGGTAACATTTCAACATTCGAACCAAAGCTACGCTTTTAAAATACTAATATTTGTAATGTAACATTTCCTTTTCCCCTCGATATTGTTTGAACATTCGATCGAATTTTATTACCTCTCCATCGGCTTCTAAATCCGTTGCGTACTTTATTTCAATTACAAACACATTAAAAGAAAACAAAACTAATTCACTCACGATGATGACAAGTGTTCCTAGTGATTCTAACCACATCAAAAGTGACCATCAAATACGAGTAATATTTCTTTCATTTAATTCCATTCTCTATTAATGTTCATAAATGATCTGCAGTCCCATCGTTCAAGTTTATTCCCTTCAATCTAAATTGACTTTAGATGATGATAATAATCAACAATAATTTTAAACTGCTAATAAAAGGCCCTTAACAATTCTAAGTCAATTTAGACTCAAGATACAAAGTCATATCGATTTTAAAAACTAAGATATAAAGTGAATTTGAAATTAAGTGATAAAATTTAATTATTTACTAGTAATGAGACAAAATTGAATATAATTAATAAACAACGAGGAAAAAAGAATAATTAAACCTTATTAATAAAATAAAGATTAATTTACTCTCATTATTAAAGTAGTCAATGTCTGGTAAAACATATAGTGCATTCAATATTTATCATAAACTCAATCTGGTAAAGAAGGTAACGGGAGAGCTTGTACGAATGACCTCAATGAATTGTATTTACCATTAATAAATAAGATTACAAAGCTGTATTTTTACACTATGAGGAACCCTCAAAAAAATATTACAGAACTTGTGAATATTCATCGCACTTTACTACAATTCCCTCAATACCTACTATAACCGTGAAAATTCCTCAAAAAGAAAAAAAGTAAAGCATATAACAACAATGAAGGTAAAACTACAAGCAACCATGTACATTTTAGGTAAGGTCTATAGTATCTCACTTTTCGATGCCTTGCTGCAGATATTGTATCAAGTCATAGCCAGCAGTGGTCCACTTATTGTAAGCATCTTTACAAACATGGGTCATGAAATTGGCTGCTTCACGCTCACTCATCTCCGGATGAAATCTCTTCCGAAGATTGCCAATAGGATCACCCCTGCTGAAGCAAGGCAACCCGCTGTCTAGCATTAAAGCTACAGTGGTGATGATCCCATCCATACGTCGACGGGCAGCAAGGTACCCCTTCACACACAAACTAGATGTACACGAAACAGTGTAAGAACGCTTAGTTTTCTATATACATGACTTGCAGGGAAAAAAAAAGTAAGTTCGGAATGCCATTACTACCTTAAAAATTGGCTCCATGTATCACTCTTCATAACACCAGATGGATCTAGTAATTGTGTCATCTCATGGCTCAGCTTAAAATGAGCACTTTCGAAACGCATATTCCCACCCGGAGAAGTTTCAAGGATGAAACCGAAATCAATATGAACTAGCCTTCCAACACTGCATCAGCATTCATATTAGTCATTCTATTTATGGGACAAAAAGGCAGAAGGGGCAGGGGGGCAAACAATGAAGATGTTCTAATACTTCAGAGGCATCTAAAGCTAAATTCAGATCCACTAGAAATTATAACTGACTTTGCTGACACAGTAATAGAAGAAAGACAGAGATCATACTTATCAAAGAGAAGGTTGCCATTGTGTCTATCCTTTGGTTGAAGCAAAAGACTAGCAACAGCATAACCAGCACTGCTAATGATGAAGTTCTGGCGGGCAGCCTCAAAACTGGCAGATCCTACAGGTCCAAAGTCTTGTTGAAATATCTCAAACAAACCTCCATCAGTCGTTTCCCCCATCTGACTTCTACTACGTGAATTTGGCACAACCTGGAAAAGTAAAAAAGAAAAAAAATTACAATCCACAAAACAATTAGGACCAAAATATTTTGAAGAGATACAAGGCTAAAATACAAGTTAAAAATTTACATCAAATAATAATAAGAGAACTTTTTAACCTAAATGACTTTCAGTATAGTTAGCTAAACACTTATATTATTTGTTAGTTTAACAAAACATAAAATAATAATATTATTGTCCATAGTACAACAAAATTAGTATCATAGGCCATCATACGCGTGTTGCAGGAGTACCCAACAAAATCAACCAAAATTGTTTGCCTATCAAAACAGTGTGTACGAGCTTGATAAAAAAAAACTTCACATGTAATTCAACTTGTTTGTGTCCAAGGATCGTAAAACTTGTGTTTAACATGATAATTTGACAACCATGCCAGTTCCACGTCCTAGACTGAGAATCCAATTGCCCAAAAGTACACTTCCAAGGACTACCATAAGTTAGCAGTTGTCACTGCACTGGCATTCTCCATTCTGATCAAGAAAACACTTAGACTGATGAACCAAAGAATTCTCACATTGTTGTAGCATAACGATAGCGCACTCACCTCTATTATACCTCTCTCAGGACCAGTTGGCAGAACACCATAAGGATATAAGTAAAGATTAATTCCAACAGCTTCAAATATATCACTAAGTAGTGATATTACTTGAAGGGCGAGAACATCTTGTCTACAGTCATCTCCGACCTTCAATGCAATAAAATAGTCAGCCCAAGAACCACAAAACACTCAAATTAAACTTAATTGACAAGAAGCAAGAAAACAATCACGCGTTGCAAAAAAATTGGTTTATCCAAAAACTAACCATACTCCAAACATGTTGCTAACTACTATTTATTTTGCTCATATTTCAAATGAAACTATCTCAGCATCTACCAACCCAGTCCTAAAAAAAAGGAAAAAATCTATAGCGTACTTTAAGAAAATATACATGTATAGCTAGGGTATACATGAGCCATACTAAGAGTATAGTTTGAAAAGGGCTAATTTTCCAAGTCATACAGCGGAATGTTCTGCAGTTTTGTTAACAGGATAACAACTAAAAATCTTGAAATGAGCCTACAAAGGATATCATGAATAAAACCCAGCTAACCTTGAAAATGCAAGCTTGTGGCTTTTCATCACTTCTGTCCCCATCTCGATCTACTACATTAAAAGTAATCATGATTGGGACTTTTGCAGCTGATTGTAAGGGAATACCACTATCCACTCGAATTCCCGTAACAAGTTTGTTAGGAGCTGTTGGGAGATAAAGGTCCTCGCCATCCAGTTCAATTTTCTCCAACTCCCTAGCAGATGGTAAAAATAAACACTAGCTTCCACCAAAAAAACATTGAAAAATTAACTTAATTCACAATTAAAATATGCCTTCAGACATTTGCCCAGTACCTCCGAATACCAGCTCGGCGTTCTTCTTTAGGGAGTGGAAATAGTACACCAGAGATGGATGTAACTTTGTCAAAGAAATCAAACTCTCTTTTAAATATGTCAAGTGCCTTTCCCCTAAAACCGTCAATTATGCGCTGCCTTACAGCTGGCAGCAGTTCTAGAAATGAACCATTCTGAAATAGAAACAGAAACAAACGTATAAAGCATGATTTAAAAACAAAAAATCCCGCAGATTCTATGCTAAAAATTATGAATTCACATCGAATATATTTAAATGTTAGCAATACATTTTCTTATATACTCTAATCTAAATTGTAAACTACAAAGTCATGGACAGGTTCATTAAGCTAGGCACGGACCGGAAGAAATTGTTATTTTTTGGACTTTCAATAAATTTCTGTTAATAATAAAAATGTGATTGAAAGAGTGTTATAGTGTTTGATGCTAATATTTCCCCACTATATTTCTCACGAAGTACTGAAAGTAGTGAAGCATATTTGAATGCCAAGTGCCAAAAATTACAGACAACACTAGGATGATGTCTCTGCAAATTGAGGAACTTAAGGTAATGTGAGCAACAGCCATGTTGATACTAACTCGAGATAGTGTTTTCTCATTGCATCTTATTGATTGACTGTCAGGACAACAAGCAATTAAACAACATAATTTGATTGCGGGCATACCGATCTGACAACTAAGAGACCAAATAGTCGATACGTAGAACCTCATCTTTAATTCTGAAGCCAAGAAATAGGTAAGGACTAATTGTTATAACCGTAAGTCTAAAACAAAAACTATATTTCCTCCTATTTATGCCTTAATCACCTGCTTTGGAGTCCAGGAATGCATCTCACTTTGATTATCAATATGACAACTTCTTGCTTCACTCTGTTGCTCTTCTCTTTCAATATCAAAAACAGAGGATACCTTTCACAGTGCTTGATCTGATGCCAGATAAGTTGTTGTGTTATAACTTATTCTGTGTCATAAATAGCTGTATTTTTTTCTGTATCTATTGTATCTTATCCCAAAGTAGGCTATAGGTACACTTCTTCTATCAAATCGATCACACACACTTACAAACTTGTCCCTAATTTCTATCCGCTTTTGACTAATTCAAACAACCTCCTTATTCACTATAATTCTCTTTGCTTTCTTTTTGCACTATTTCATTTTCCATCTCTCTATCCAAACAAAGGCTAAGGGTCACTTTGTTAGGCATACAAGAGAGGGGAAGCCAAACTTGACTTAGAGTCAATCAATATAAAAAAAACTCTTAACTAATTAACTACACAGCATATGAAGAAACATTCGTTTGGGCTTTAGCATACCTTCCCACTGTTTGGGTCTTTTCCTGTCTCAGGTACAGTCTCACCCTGCCAAAAATAAAATCAGTGTTATTAAACTAAACAAATAACTTGCAATGCACACGTTAACGATAAAAAAAAAGGAGGGGGGGGGGGGGGGACCACAGTCTGAAAGTAAGAAAAACATAATCACAAGTCATACCTGCAAATGCCAGATAAGAATATGGGCAAATATGTCACTTCTTTGCGCAGCTCTAAGCAAATAACCTTCAACTAATTTCTGCAAAAAATAAATTTACGCATTTGGTTACTGAGAAAAATCATTGAAAGTCATTACTGACCTTTTATTATTTACACCTTCCCCGTCAATTATTAGACATTGACTTCAGAAAATGTTAAATTCAAACAACATTAAAAAAAGGTTAGAAATTTTCATTTGTTAAATGTCTGAGCTGAAGATGTTTTCCTCAATGAGATTTTTCATGAAGTCAAGATATATATTAGAAGTGACTAAAAAAAGTAAAACAACAACGCATAATGAGATTCAACATGGAGA